GTCACTAACACCATCGTAATTGAACATGAAGCCAATATCATCCTTCTTACTTATCTTTTCATCCATCGATCGTACAGGCGACTGGTTGCTTCACGTGGCTGCAAGGATCGCGTCAACACGGATCCTGCAAGTGCTGAAGGAGAAGGGATGCGATGTAAACAAGCGCAACGCAGACGGGTCGTCGCCACTGCATCTGGCTGCGGAGTCCGGCAACCTGGAGGCTGTCAGGTGGTTCACGCACAACGGAGCAAAACTCGACGGTCTGGAAGCAAGGAAGAAGTCACCAGACGGCAGAGCAGTAGGAGCAAAGCAGAAACATGTGGTGAGTGGATGTGACCATTAGGGTTTGAGGGCGGACGAAACTGACTTCTTTGTTTATAAATCTTATGCAGTGAAGTATTGTTTGGTATAAAGATGAATGAAAAAGACGTATAGAGTACCTCGCGAATGCTTGGGAATTTGTGAAACAATGACCATTTTGTCAATAGATAACATGGTACGTATATACCCCCATTACTTGTAGCGCCGACGAGCAACCCTGAACTCTAAGCTCACCATCTTCCTTACTCTTGTGGGGCCCATCATTCGGGCTCTTACAGTGTGTATATGTGTGTCTATATATGTGTGTGTGTCTCTCTACCTGTCTATCATGTTTATGTATATACATGTGTGTGTGTGTGTGTGTGTGCTTGCGTCTATTTATCTCATATCAGTGATAACGGCAACATCTCTTAACCCTTCCCCTGTATGGACTCACCTCCTTCCCTTTCTTCCTTCAGGTTCCCGAAGGAGATGGGCGACGTCCTGTCTGGCTTGTTCATCGCCCAAGGAGGACCGAAGGAAGAGAGCAAGACAAAGAACCTGCGAAGGAGGTGGATGCCAGGGTTGGATATTTTTTTGTGTGTGTGACAAAAGCACATGCACTATATTACTGTTACTATTGTTTCTATTCAATATTGTTATTGTTGATATTATTGTCAATTTTGTTCATTTTTTTTATTCGTATTATAATTGGTATTTTTAAAGTTTTTGCATCATTATATTTCCTATTGCTACCACCATTTTTTGAAATATTATATCCCATCTGTTATTGCTACTCATTATATTTATGTCCTGTAATGTATAATTGGTATTTATTTCAGAATACTTTCGCATAACCGATCATGAAGATTTGGGTATCGATGGATTCGCCTCACTCTCTACTATCCAAATATATCGAAAGTATTCCGCCGGATCATAAATATGGGGATTAGGGGGTGGGGGGTAAAGCAGCATAATTCCTACATATATGTGCAATAGAGAGTGAAAGGGATCCATCGATACCAAAATCGTCGCCATGTTATGTGAAGGTTTGGAAGTTTACAATTTGGTTATAAGTTATTCCAATTGTAGAATTTCAAGAACATCAGGTGATGGAATCAGTGGTTTACATTGACTCCATACCTGGCAGCTCTCATAATAAAGATAATAATAATAATGATAATAAAACGATTAATCAACGATGATAATAAATATTAAAATTGCAACCATTGAGGTAAACTAAGACTTGGAAGGAAGTAAACAAAACTGCCGCTTCTGGCTATTCAGACAGTCTGGGATATTCCGTGATTGTAACTCTTTATCATCATCATCATCAGGAGCTAACGCCGACGGGGGCGCAGAGCCGCGTCCACCGTTTGGGATCCCTCATGGCAAGCCGCCAGGCAGGGGCCCGGCCCATCTCGAGCTCTTCCCGACAGGTTTGATCGATCTGCCCAAGCCACGACCTCCTAGGTCGTCCCACAGGCCTCCTCCACCCAGGGATGTCTCTTACAGAGACAACCTGATGGGCAGGATCAGCCTGTGGAAAGCGAGCCAGGTGGTCATATAGCCTGAGTTGGCGATCCCGGATTGCGCAGGTAACAGGTCCTGTGCCATTCTCACGGTGCAGCTGTTGGTTAGACACATGGTCCCGCTAACAGTACCCCATGATCTGGCGCAAGGACATATTACAAAAGGCATCAAGACGAGACCAGTGCACTGGAAAATGTCCGGGTTTCACTACCGTAGAGCAAAACTGGCATTATCAGGGCCCTGAAAACCCGTAGCTTGGTCCTTCTGCACAGGTACTGGCATCTCCAAATACTCTTGTCGAGAGAGTTCATGACCCCTGCTGCCAGGCCAATCCGTCTACTGACTTCCTGGTCTGACAGCCCAAAGTTATGAACTGCACTACCAAGGTATGTAAAGCTCTCTGTGACTTCAATGTTCTCGCTGCAAGTACGTACCGACCGAACAGGTTCTCCTAGCAAGTCCCCAAAGTCCTGGATCTTGGTCTTGGCCCAGGAGACTTCTAGACCCAAGGGCTTCGCTTCATTACTAAATGCATCGAGGGCCACCACTAAGGTTTCCAAAGACTAAGATAGAATTGCAACATCATCGGCAAAGTCAAGGTCTGTAACCTTAATATTACCCAGTGTTGCTCCACAATAACTTTGAACAGTAGCTCTGCCTAGTATCCAGTCCATGCAAGTGTTGAAAAGGGTTGGTGCAAGAACACAGCCTAGCCTCACTCCTGAACTGCCAGGAAAGAAGCTCGACAGGCCCCCACCACACTTTACAGCACTTTCAGTACCAGTATATAGGTTTGCTATTAGTTCAATAATCCTTGTTGGAATTCCTCAAAGTACTCAGCCCAACCCTCCTGCACCGCAACAGGATCTGAGACGATCTGGCCACCTACTAAGTAAACTGCAGTCACCTGTAAAGAGGGCTTGGAATTCAGTTTTCTCAGGGCTTGGTATGCAGGACGAAGGTCATTTACTAAGAAATGGCTTTCGACCTCCTCAGCAAGACTCCTAATAAATTGTTCCTTGTCCCTTCTTAACAGAGACCGAGTCCTGCACACCTGAGAACGGTGCAAATCTCGATCCCCTGCCAGACGAACCGCACGCCAAGCATCTGTGGTTTCCAGTGTCTCCTGAGAGATTAAAATTCTGTCTTGCTCTCGGGCAATTTCCAATCGATTCTTGGGCTGCATCAAGTGTTTTGTGCTTGAAGGTGTCCCACAGAAGTACAGGGTCCATCAGATTGTCAAGCGCTGTGACCTGATCAGAAATGGTCTTAGCAAACCTCCGAGCACACTCCCTCTCCTTCAGCCTGTCCAGATGAAACACCCTAGGGTGATCATTGGGCCGCTGGGAAGTTTTGAAGTGAACCCAGAGGGTAGCCGCAACCAATCTATGGTCAGTACCATAGAACTCTGCTCTCCTACACACCCTGCAGTTCTGGAGGATCCTCCAACGAGTTCTAACGAGAATGTGGTCAATCTCCTTGGCTGCATTGCCCGCATCGCTCTACCATATCCAACGATGTGGGTCTGGGTGCTGGTACTAGGAGCCAAAAATCCTCAATTTCTGGGATCCTGCAAAATCCCGGAAAAGGAGGGAATTCTCGCTGCCGTTATCAACTTGCGAACCATAAGGACCGACTGACATCTCAAAGCCAGCTCAATCGCAGCCAGATACCGCATTGAAGTCACCCAGAACAATACGAATATCTCGCCGGGGACAACTGTCTGCCACAGATGCAAGTTTGGCGTAGAACATCTCTTTCACGTCGTTTACAAACATCTGTAGAAGCGTACACAGCAATAAGAGACATAAAGCCAAAAGACAGCTTCAGTCTCATTACCATTATATGTTCATCGACTGAAGTGACCTCTACCACCGAGGACTGGAGCCTACTGGAGACAGCTATGGCTACTCCTCGAAGATGGTGACAATCGCTGCGGCCCGACCATTAATAGGTGTAGCCACCTACACTGATCGTGCCGCTGCCAAGTTTTATCACCTCCGAGAGAGCGGCCACCCCCACTCTCAGCCCCCCCAGTTCCCTCCATAGCAGGGGCAACCAATCATCTTGACGCAAAGAGCGGACTTTCCAAGCCCCCACCCTGACTTCCCGCCTGAGGTTAATCCTCGGGCAGTCGCTCCGGGTGGACGCACCTTTGCCACCCCTGTATGACGCTGCCCCACATAAAAGGCGGCAGGCTGCGGGACTCATCATCCACCTGTGGGGTTCACTAGGGCTTTGCCCCACAAGCTTCATATTGGGCTGGCGGCTGCCAGAACGCAGGTGGGACGAGGAGCTCCTGTTTCCATTCTGCGCCCCAGCAGTCACCCTCCCAACGGGGCCCGCAGCCCGCCTCTCCCGCTGGGTAGGAGGGACATTACCCCTCACCCCAGTATTACCATTTAAATGACATGCTGCCAGTGGGTTATTCAATGTGGGGAGGAGGACTGGCAAGGCCCACCTTCCCCGAGCCTCCCATTGACCCCAGTGGGTGCTAACTAGCTATATAATGAGGTTGTAATCATATAATTACCCATTTTCTTATCTGCAGTACTGCATTACTAAAAGACTGTATATCCATATAACTTGGTAGTTAGATATATAGCTACTTAGCATGACGAATTAGCTATATACATATAACCAGTTATGTTACTTATAAATTAATCAGTGCAGTGGTGCTTCATCCTTGCACTTTTATGAACAGTATGCATAAGGCACGCTGGAATTGTAAGCTTCATGTAATTGTTTGTATTTATTTATGGATAACTCAGCATTTCCGTTTATTTCAGACCCTCATAAAAGAAGCTCTGGCCTCCGGTGACTTCAAGAACCTGATAAAACTGATTGAAAAAGGGACTGACGTGGATACTCTGATTCATGAGAGTAACGACCAGGGTAAGTCCTCTCCAAGCCTCCCTCTGTACTTCCCTGCCATTGATGTCACCTGCTGGGTGGCTCTGACACGTAAGTTAACGGTCTGTTTTCCTAGGGATGCGAGCGGTTCATTACGCCGCCCAGAGCGGCAACATGGAGATGCTGAGAGCGCTGAAGCAGAGGAAAGTCGACCTGAAGTCCTTGACCTCAAAGGGCTTCACGGCGCTCCACTACGCCGTCTTGAACGGCCACCTGGACGCCGTCCGCTGGCTGGTGGCGGAGGCGGGTCTCGA